AAATTGCTTGACTTGTACTTTTGTCTATGGCAATGCTACGTCGTCAAATCGGCAGAGAAAATACGACTCGAGGAAGAGCAGCGACAGCTTCAAGCGTCAAATGACTTGCTAGCAAGCGATAGCGATATCCTTCTACAGCTCTGCAATGTGCAAGCATCAATATTGTGGGACCACAAACGAGCACTTCAGGCTCTTTGTAATGGTGTTGTTTCAGCCTTGGAAGCGAGCGATCTTCAAGCCTACTCCGTCGATGAGCCTGAGCCTTGATAGAGACTCCATGTGGTAGAGCGTTTACGAGGCAGGGAGAATGGCATTGGGGTTTTCCGCTATCTATTTGCGTTTTCCCTAAGGAGAGATAAGGCCTATACTGCCGGTAAACTTTCGTTGTGTTGGTGACGGGTGCCAACGGTGCACGCTGTTGGTACATTCAACGCATTCGATGGCTTAGCATATGGTTATAAATTCCCCTAGTTTGTCCTCATTCTGTGTAATAAGAGAGGAATAGAAACTGCTCCGTCTCCAGCTTTCCATCCCTCCCAACCCACGTTAAATCGCTGCTTTACACACTTCCATATTTTCCCTACAGCGTTCGACGGCCAGTCATATACCAGAAATGAACGGATTGAACAACAATGGTCTGTACCCGTTGCCTTGATAATATCTTGCGCTAACATTACAGACTACGATTTGGATCTCGACCTTCACGCTATCTGGCATGAATCTTCTGGCATACCGACACCGCCTCCCTGTCTCGCTACTGATCCCAATGATCTGTGGCAGGATTCTTTTGGCAAAGACGACCCTGCAGAATACGAAACTCAAGAGCCTTCCTTGATCGAATGCCTTTTCTATCCCAATCTCGACAGTCTGTCCGGGTTCAAGTGGACAGGTCCAGATCCTCTGACCAACTCTACTCGGGCTAGCGATATTTTCCTCCACATGTCAGCGCTCCTTTTCCCTAAAGAGGTGCACTGGATAGAATTTCGGTTTGTGCGATTTGACCGGATATCTGGTGAGTCTATAGGAGAGGATCTGTTCTTCCTGCCACTGGTTGAAACGGCCCTGGGAAATCTCTATCGGATACGCAAACAGCTACTAGACACAATCACCTGGCATGCTGTCCGTGCAACAGGCACTATCTTCCGGCTGTCCCTTTGGCCTCGTACGGAATCTCTACCGTATTCGAGTCTCTCGACACATTCTCTGTTGACTAGGCTTCCCCCGACGCTATCCCTGAACCCACGGTTTTTTGTACATAATATATCGAGTAATTACGAGTGAGATTGATCTGAATCAAGCGGGATTGTTCGTATACTCATTTCAGTAAAGACCACGATAATGGATAATGACTATTTGGTGCCCTTCTTGCTAAAGGCCTCGGGAATATATAACCTGCTTTGCATGCGGTGTAATTTCCCTTGCACTGCGTCGCCGCTTGTAGTATTTATATATTTCCAATATAGGACGGGGCAACCCGAAATAGGCAATTCCTTACTCTTCTCTTGCGGCGTCCGTCAGCCCTGCCAAATTGGGACTGTAGGGGTAGTTCCAGTCATCGAGTAGGCTAGTCAGTCGTTCCCGAGATGATTCCAGTGCCTGCTCAAAAAAGCGCAGTCGAGCTAGCTGCTTGTCGTGGCGAAGCTGAAGTCCGTCCCTCTCTTTTCTCAGGTGTGTACCAGCCTCCTTTAAGTTCTGATTGCTCTGCTCTAGCTTCTGGCCATCGATATGCTTGGACACACACGACTCCCATAGGCGTCGATAGAGTCCAACAAGTCGAGCTGCTAGAAAGGCAAACTTGGGATCGTCGCGTTCGAGGCCTGCTAGCACCTTCAAGGTGGGTTGAAACGGCTTGGTCGCCAAGGTATGTCTTGTTTCTTCTTCGTGTTGCGAAGGGGAGGTCTACGATGGTCAGCCAAAGCATTTGAAGCCGAATGGTTTCACTTACCAAAGGAGGGACATGATCAGAAGGTTCCACATTATTGTCCTCATCATTAAGGATTGGCAATTCATTGGGCTGCTGTTCTCCTTGCTTTTCCTGGTCTGGCGAGCTGTTTGGGGAGTCCATTTTGTCCACAGGAGAAAGTCAAGGATCTGGATAGTACTGTTTCCAACTAGCCTTGGTATCTCTTATAGAATATGCAGACGCAGACGGCTATAGACTGAGTTTTACGATCCCACATCAGTCAATCAACGCAGTCAGCTTCTGAATAGAATTTGCTTTTATTTTCAGCGGGCGCTTGGTAGTAAATTTGAGAGGAATGTCAACGGGTTGGCCGGGGAAACTGATCAAGCCTGACGATGTTGAGGGCCAGATATGAACGCCCATTGACGTGAGAGACATCTCAACTAGACGCCTCTTCCACTTTCGTTGGAAGCCTCAGAAACCCGGCAAACAGCATTGCAGAACAGAGTCGCCAAAAAAAAGGTATTTCGGATAGTAACGAAGAGAAAAATAGAAAAGAAAAAAAAAAAAAAAAAAACAATTTATCTTCGAAGGTTGGTGGTCATCACTCAAATTGAGCGTTGACAACGTTTGGCCAAGCTTCAACGGGTTGACGGGTCATCCTACCGTGA